TAAGAGAAGAAATTTTCTTCAATAAAATATATTAACATTGTAGAAGGAATTACGTTGGCGACAACTCTCTTATGTCAACTTATACATTTGCGATTTGCATTTAAATTTCGTAAATTTGAATACAAAATCTATAATTATTTTTGTTATTAAATTACTCATTTTCAAATTGCTTTTATGAGAAATATTTGTATTGAGATTTGTTCTCTCAATAAAAAAAAATATTATTGCAAGTATAATCCAATGAATAATTGTTTAATCATAATTTAAATAATTTTGTATAATTAATAATACTATCATTTTTATGCAAATAAATACAAATTTTTTAATAAATACGATAGATAAATATAATTTTATTTTATTTTTTACTGATTGCACACATTAAATGATTCAGATGATTTTAAAAAATATTGCCATACTTTTTCAATTTTATTTATTTCTTAGATACTTATTCATAAAAAATGAATGAATTGTCGCACCTTACAACAATAAATTATTTTTAACAAAATATTTTGGAATAGAAATAATTCTGAAAAAAAAAAATTTAGTTTAATTTGTGATTTTTATTTAAAAAAAATTCCAAATGTTCTATGAAATTATTTATTTCTTTTATACATAGCTAGATGACAATAAAAATAATAAAATTAATAAAATAAAATTTTATGATCAAGATATAAGATAAGAGGTTGTTAAAATTAAGATTAATGTTTAAAAATATTTAATGTAAATATTCATGTATTATTTTTTTTTTATTCTATAAATCATTATAGATTTTCACTATAGATATTATACAAAGTATATATAGAATAAATTGGCAAAGAAAAAAACCCGAAATTCAATTATTCTATAAAAATATTCAAATTTAATAAATTTACAAATTTTTTGAAATTATTAAAATTTATTCTTTTTATTTTACTAATTTAAACTTGATATATGTAGAATATTTTTAAAAATTTTTTATAATTTACATGGAATATTGAAAGTTTGAAATTTTATATGTACAGAATAACAGTAGCAATCAGTAAAACAGTATAACAGCAATTTAATACTTATAATATATTATTTTAAAAAAATTAAGACATAATCTGTGCAAAACGATATATATAGGCTTCAATTATAATACTTTTACAAATTTAAGAATTTTTTTTTTAATATTTATGTGTGCATATTCAAATTAAAATTAGACAAAATTATGTGTGCATATTCAAATTAAAATTAGACATTAGACATTAATTCATACGTTTTTGTTTTTCGTATCGACCTTTAGTTTGTTTTTCTATTTTAAAATCAATATACTTGTATTGTATGTATGTACATGCTTCATCACCTAAAGGCAATAAATTGTATATTTTAAATATTGTATTCAATATAGTTATATTAAAATAAACAAAATCAATTTTTAACAACTAAATAAAATGTTATAGTTTGGAATTAATAATTAAGCTACTTGTATTACTCCGCTCATATAATTTTTAAAAGCAAAACTAATAATTTATGGAGAAATCATGATTTTTATTTTAGAATTTTCAATAGCCAAATTATTGAAGATTGATAAAATTAAATGTTAATGATAAACAACAATTTTTAAATTGTATAATTAATATTATTGATAATATGCACAGTTTATGGGTAATAAAGTTCAAATTCATTTCATTTTAAGAATATTGCAGTCAAAAAGCAATACATACATATTATGTACTTGTAACATTTGCGATTAACATAATGAAAATAACTTTAAACTGAAATTAAGCTACACAGTAAATTTTAGATTATGTATAATTGTGATGAGAATACACTGCGAGTAGTGTATAAAAATTCTATTGACAAAATAATCACGTTAATACCATTATCAAATTGCATATAAGTAGGAGGAAATGAATATTTTAATTTATCAAAACAAAATTTCTTTCCATACTAAGTGTTATATCCATATTATTACAGCGGATTAAATAAAACAAACTTGTACTAAAGCATTAGTATAATTTTGAAAAGTACTGTAGTAAATTTTTGAAAAAGGAATATATTACTAATTATTTAATTAAATTAAAGCATAATAATATATTTTTTTTTGGCGAGCAGACACATACTCATATTGCGAATACATTAATGTAGACTATGAAAATCTGGTAATTTTTTTATAACTCTCTAGCTCAGTTGGTAGAGCTAAAATGCTGAAGTAATTCGATTTCATTTTAAACAGAAAAATTTCTTACCTTTTTTGCCTTGACTTGTTCCTTTTATTAGGTCATTAATTCCACGAGTGGTGAAAAATTTATCCAAAAATTTGTTTCATATTAAAGCCTAATATAAATTGCTTATTTTAATATCATTTAATTACTTGTAATTTAAAAAAAAAAATAACAAAATATCTTTTGTGCAAATTAGAAATTTGCTTTTATAGTTCTGATTCAATATTTTGTCAAAATATAGTAGAATTTCCCAAAAATTAAAAATTAGCCAAATAATATTGTCCTAAAGAAATATTTTTATTCACTTATAATATTTTAGCCTACTTTTTGCCTATTAAATTTCAGATTTCTTTCCTTCGTTTGCTGAGCAAAATGTAACTAATAAGCACATATGTAAGAAAATCTTTTTGAATATTACTAAGAACAACAAACAATGCCTGTATACTTTTATATTGGAAAGAGGCCTAATATGCAATATTATTATACAACAATTATAGTTTTTTAGTATAATTGAAAGTTGTTGCAAATAAGAAAACCTACATCAGGGGCAATATTACCCAAAATAATAATAAATCAATACTTAAAATAATTATATAATAAACTGCGTGTAACTTTTCTACTATAAAATTGATTGAATTTCAATTAAAATCATAAAAAACATATTGAATTTATTTAAAAAATTTTTAACATTTATTTGACATATTTTCTTATTTTGGCTATTTTTTTTCTTTAAATATTCTTTAAACTAGATTAAAAATTGAAAAGAAAACAAAAAATATGTGCATATTATAAACTTATCAATTTTATAATTTATTTTATCTTAATATTTTTTCAATTTTATTTAAATATAAAAAATTTTTATTGGACATGCAAAACAAATTATAAAATATATTTTAAATCATCACGTTATTATGATTATGTAATTCCAGTATATTTTGTATACATATATATAAGTATACATATATGTATATGCATATTTTTAGATAAATTTAAAAAAATATTATTTTCCTTCTAAAACACCATCATATGTCAAACACTAAAAAGGAAAATTCCAAAAATATATTTAAAGCAGGTTTTTCATTTTTTATTTTTTCGCAATTCGATGTAAATTATGAAAGCAAGTTTTTGAGAATAAAAATAATTAAAAAATTAAAAAAAAAATTAAATTATGGATATTTAAATAAAATTTATTTATTTTATTAAGTGCACATATATGTAAAGATATACGCATTATATAATTATAGAATGCGAATAAAATATTCTATATAAGATTGTGAATAAGATGAATAAGAAATCGTTCGTTCAACTCTCCATATTCGAATTGAACGCAATTTTGTATTTTATACTAGAATGTATATGTATATTTTAATATTAAAATATTTGTATATGAAAATGAAATGTTATGATCACAATTTGTCAAAAATGCAAGTTAAAAAATATTTTCAATTTTCTTTTTATATTAAAATTCAAGAAAATTTTGTTTGAGAATAATTTTGTAATAAATAAATATTTTTAATATTTTTAATCAATTATGGTTACAGTTGATATAATGAATTTTAATATTTGATAAATATGGTAACAATAAAAAAAAAAACACAATTAAGATTATTTTTTAAAACAATTCTCTCAAAACTCTTGAGCGCCACTTTAGACCAGATATAATTTCGAAAAAAAATTTATGAGTGCGTAATTCGAATACGATCAATTGTGTAAGTTTTGAAATTTTTAAGTTTTAGAAGAAGTGTCTTACGGAAAATATTTTTAATTATTAAACAATTAAAAATTTAATTTAAACGAGAAAAAATTAAACCAGTTGATTATGTCAACTCTGTAATACCCGTACTTATATTGGTTAATTTATAATACCCTTCGTACATTACATTCGCACGGAAATAATATATCGGAACTACTATTGAAGTTTTATGGCAGCTACCACAAGGAGTTCAGAAATTTATATAAAATTAATGGTTTTCATCACCAAAAAATTTTTAGAGATAATACCAAATAATTTTTGGAGTTGTATTTCAGCCACCAGAAGGAACAATTTCAATGAATTTAATTAAATAAATATATGTAATATATTTGCTAGTGCGAAACTGCAATAAATTTAATAAATTTCCAAAAAACTTTTAAAGTTGTATGGTAGCTACCCGAACCAGTAATTCGATCATATAGAATTTAAATATGGTTCTGGTATTTAGTATAAAAAATCATGATCATCATTATGTGACTCTATACAGCTCGGGGTGAGCTTTGGCCTACTTCACAATTTGTCTCCATTGGTCTCTATTTTGATGTCTCCGCTGATCTCTTAAGTTCGAGGCATTTAAAACTCTGGTGTCATTTTCTATATTGTCCATTCATTTAGTCCTTGGTCGACCTCTTGCTCTTGAGCCCATAGGTTTTGCATGGAAGATATTATATTGCGTTCTATTTTCTTCTTCTTTCATAGTCGTCATCATTTCTGCTTCGTGCGCCAAAAATCTTTCAGAGTATTCTTCTTTTCAAATATTCTTAGACTACTCTCGTCATGTGCTGTTAGTGTACTCCGACAATTGTTATGTTTTGCGGAGTTCGTTGTCTTTTGTTTCGGGACATTTTTTAATATTTTGTTTTGCTCTCATTTATTGTGAGTCCAGCTCTTTTTGTTTCTATTTCCAGCATAATTAAAGGTTCTGCCATATTTCTATAATTTCTTGACATAATAGCTATATCGTCAGTATACGCAACTATCTGATGGGACTTCACAAAAATATTTTTCAATTGCATAATTTAATTAAACCATGATAAATAATAAGGCCGAAAGTGCATCACCTTGTCTTACACCTGATTCAACATTAAATTCAGATGATAGTTTAGACTGCAATAATATTTTTGCTTTCGAATTCTTCATTGTCTAATAAATTATCAGTATAATAAATCATTTGTGAAAATTTGGTGAACTTAGCTCAATTAGTTTTTGAGTTACCGTTGGGACGGACGGACAGACAGAGCTAAATGAACTCAGAATTCAAGGTTGATCAAATGCATATGATTGAGTCCATATTTCAGATCATTATTTCTTAACATTACAAACGGTAAGGCAAATTTAAATGCTTTTTACAATTAACACATGCTTTTTTCAATTATAGTATTATTTAATGCGAACAATAATTGCATTTCAGTACAATAAACTTATTTTTTTTTAATATTGAGTGCACAATAAATATCCACACCTATATGGTCTTTCAAACTTTTTAAATTTGCAAAATCAAAAGTAAACATATGTAAACAACATATACTAAAATTATTTATTAATAACACTTTTTTTAGAATATCATAAAATAACTTATTAATTAATATGAGCTTATTAAAAAAAAAAAAATTTTCTTTTTCAGTTTCGACCGTTTCACGGGATGCTATTATTAGTTATTCTAATATCAACGAATTATGCAAATGCAATACTAGAAGACGATCATTTAGAATATGCGCCACAATATGTAAGTTAATTAAAACAGTTTAAATTGAATAAAAAAAGAAAAACCGAAATATGCACACATGAAATTATTAATAATATTTTTTTTTCAATTAAAATTTTTTAAAAAATTTCCCATAAAGCTTAACTACAATATAAATGCAATTATAAATACGTGTATAGCACATATAAATGTACATAAAATTTTCAGAGAAAAAAAAAATTCCCATTAATGTAATTAATATTAAAAAATGTCATGAGCCAGCTTATGCACCATATTGCACATATACATGAGTATGTATATAAATATATACATACTCATGTATATTGTAGGCTTATATTTACCACCTACAAATTAATATGTTCCCTACACATGAAAAATATCACTTTAAAACAACATGTGACAATATTGATCACTTGTAAATGAATTTTTGCGTATAACAATTTTGTATATATACATATACGTGTTAATATATTTATTCGATCTATTAATGAATATTTAAATTTTTTATTTTTAAACAGTTTACAGAATTTATAATTAGTTGACGGTCATTTTTGTATTTTTATCCATGTAATTATTTAAACTGCATTCGAAATTCGATTTAACGAATATAACTTGAACCCCATAAAATGCATTTTGTACGTTAGGTAAAAGACCGAGAAAACTTGGAACGATTTCCGAAAAAATAAAATTTTTGGGACTCCAAACCTAAGTTTCCCCCTTCAATATCCCCTATAATTGAGCGTTATGTGTATTACTAAGGACTTAATTCTGTTGAGTATTATGAATTGAATATAAAGAATCCGCTGTTATAAAATTGGAGATCTTTGACCTTTTAATATAGTGTTTTTCATACATTTTGTGTCTTAAATCAAATATAATGACATTCATATTCATTCCTTATTTCTTGAGGATATTTATTCCTCTTTAAATATTTATCAAGCGTAAATTTAAATAAAATTTATGGATTTTAAAGAAAACAAATATGTGTACATAATTATGTTTTATACTTCCGCGGATATATTTACTAAAATTCTAAAATTTCAGTAAAACAAGTGAACCTTGAGGTGAATCACAAATTTTGACATGTGCTGTATTGTATACAATGATAAGTAGGTAATGTAATGGCACCAAATTTTGGATGTCGAGTTTTCGGTGAGAACGCAATTCTCCACAGTAGGGAAGTATAAATAAAATATTTTTAGTAACCTGTCTGTTTGTGTGTGTAAGTGTTTGTATCAAGTTCGGCTGAACCGATTTTCATTAAATTTTATATGTGAGTTTTTTTTTTTGGTAACTTTTGGGATATATCTGACAACAAGGACTGGACCTTATTTGCGGGCTAGTTTTACATTTTCGCGTATATTAACGAATTTCCTTGAAATTTAATATTTATTTTTGGGGTGTTAAACCAAATTGGGGGTCGATTTTACATTTTTTAGCATATCTACAGATCGGATTGATGGAATTTCTTGAAATTTGACATTTGAGTTCTGGTTGTCACTGAAACTAACTGATAAATTTTTCAGGGGATTTAATATACATTGCGGTCGGTTATGTGCTGATCACATCAGATTTTTTTTTAGATTTAATGGCACACGAATTCGTAAGACATATACAGTTTACAAAATCACTTTAGAAATTCATATCTAAATTAAATTCGAATTAAAAACCTTATTACTACAATATAAGCCTAGTCGATTTATTTGTTTGAATAGCATAAAATTAAATTTAGATTTCTGATTTCAGTATTTTTGGTTGAATTATTTTATTGAATTATAAATTACTTATAATTTATGCTACAGAAAATTTTAAAAAATATTTAATAACTCATAAATCAATGAAAAATATTAATCGAAATCCTAATTTTTAATATACCATAAATATATTTTCTCAATAGTTGACTTAGCCTTTTCACTTTATTCAGAACTACAAAACTCATATGGATATTCAATATGCACATATACATAATTATAACACGTCCTTTGCTAAACATATTAATTATATTGACATTTTCAAAATTATTGCAAATAAATTAAACATAGCTAATATTGGTAAAAATAAATTGATAAAATTTTAATTATGCAACAATTTAATGCGTTGGTAAGCTCAATTTGTAATTAAAAAAAAATATACTTTTTACCCGTTTCTTATTGAATATTTGAATAAATTTAATAATGTTCTCTAATTAGTTTGATGAACAGTAAAGTATAAAATTAAGATACTTGTATTTTGACATTAAGTCAAAATACAAGTATCTTAATTATCAATTAAATATTATCAAATAATTACTAAAATATGGAAAAGCAAAAATTTATAAAAATATTTAGACTAATTACTTTTACGCCTACTTTTTTTCTATTAAATCTGTCACATTATTAAGAAAATTTTTTAAAAAAGAAATTCGATTTCTTTATATAATATGCACCTATTTATTATAGCGTAAATGTATGCAGGCGAGTGTGTATGGGCATATACACAATTTTTATCCAAATACTTTTTTTCCTTATTGAGTTCATATAAAAAACAAAATTCAAATTGGTTCATTTGTCGTCCTTGATAAATAAATAAATAAATAAATAAAATTTTATAAAATTAAGACAACTTTGAATATTTTATTAAGGGTACAAAATAGTTGGCCAGAACAACTAAATTTGGGTAATTTTTATTATTTTTGGTTTTTTAAATAAATTTAGAGTGTACGTTATACGAGTATAGTGACAACATGAGAAAAATAAAATTATTATCCATTTTTGGAATTTCACATGGAAAACGCACCCATAGAATTTTTGGATTTGATTAATTTACAAAATTTAATTTCGCAAAAAGAAAAAAAATTCAAAAAAGAAAATGGAAAAGAAAATATGCGTTGACCAAAAGTCAAGCATAAAAACTTTAAATCATTCTTGTCTTTTTTTTAGCATGTTTCCTAATAAAATTGAAAATATAACAATGTGATTATTAGTTTCAGTAAGTTCGTGAGTCCTTTCAAGCGTCTATTCATAAAAATTCTGGGTCATATAAGATAGAATGTTAAAATTTTACGCTTTAGCGCTCTAAAAAAACTTTTTAAGTATTTGTCGTATTTTTTGGAACCCAAAATTTCTTTAATCTTCGGAAATGTAGAATGGTGTAGAAACATGCTTTTCCTATAGTGGCACAGCTTAGTTGTACGTTGAAATTGCAAAATGGTAGTTAAAAGTAATTTTTATGTAAAATCCGTTTTTTGTTTTTTTTAATTTTCGATAATTTCGTTCTTGGTAACGGTAACATGCGGATATCGGATCTTTATGTTTTCGAAATCGCAGGCTTTTCCAATTGTATTGTTAGATGGTAACTTTTACATATTTCCAATATTGCAAGTTTTTCTAATTTTTGGTATAAAAGCAAAAACTTAACTGTACATGTTCTTTTATTAGAAAGTGCATTAGACTCAGCTAATTAACCGCCAATTTCAACCGTTATCCTAACGTTTCCTTTAATTTCCATCGTAAAGGTATGCAATAATTTGATAGTTTTTAAAAAAATTATTTTCACTTATTCAAGGAAAATGTACTACTTTACAAATCATAAATTTTTTGATCCGAATTTATCATTTTTTCGTTTTTTGGTCTGATAGTTATTGTAATTGATTCATATGAAATCAATTTTCATTTAAAACAAATTTTTTGATAGATACACCCAAATTATTTTTGTTGGTATGTTTTTTTTTTATTTTGTTTTTCTTCTTTAATTTTTTTACAATTAAAATAAGACTGCCAATAAAAAATGTATACAATTAATTTGTATTTTCCTTTGTATAAGATTAATGTAATTTTCATTGGAATTATATATTATGCACACTGTTATACTTAGCCACACAGTGATTAAATTAAGTAAATACGTTTTAAATACACTGTTACAATAAAAATCGGTTTATTTCAAAGAAATTAATTCAAGTTTTACAAAAGATTTTCGATTTTAATTCAAATTTCGAGTTAATCAATAATTAAGCATAAATTTTTCCAAAATTAATAATTAAGCATAATTAATAAATTATCATAAATGAATAGAGGAAATAACAATTTTTATTCGAAATTTATTCGGAATTTAAATTAAATTAATTAGAGGATTCAATCGAAATTTTCAATATAATTAAATAATTATGTTAAAATTGCAAATAATTGAAAGTGTAGTTAATTTTCAAGTGTAATTTATTTAAAATGTTAATTACTTTCCAACTTTTTCTCTTGCTTTGCAAGCAAACCAGACACACGAGATTCTTTAACCAAATCTTAAAAATTTTCTCATTTTTACAATTTACAAATAACAAATTTACTTGCAGTATAAATCTTTCATTGTGTTATACAATTTTCTTTTTCTAAATTGTTAGAAGAAATATTTTTATTAGCTTTCTGGAAAAGACTTAACATATGGATGACATACTCGTAAAGAAATTCGGTGAAATTCTCACTGAAACTATAGAAAATTTGCGCCTTCAATTCAATAAGCGTGAGCAGGTTAAGTACTTGTAATTAATGAAATACGAATTTTTGTCATTATAAATTTTTTTTTTTGTACTTCATAGTCGAATTGAGGTTGAACATTCGATAAACGTAATATTTATTATATAATATTAAATTATAGTATATACCGCGTTTACAGGTGTTAAATAGCGATAGCACTTTAATTTTATTTTCATTTTTATAATCTCTTATTTATGAATGCACTAAATTATAATATTCTTTTAAATTATGAGAATAACATTTTATACCAAAACTCAAGAATATTGTTAAAAAGCGGTTATGTTCATTCACACATACATATATATGTATATATAATTTTAAAATATAATGTGAATAATTTAATGTACAGATACAATAAATTTTCGATTTATTTAGAATTGAAAATTTTTTTTAGGTGTGTACCAAATATAATAAAAGCAAATCAAAAATAAAACACGTGACATTAAATTTTATTGCCATTTAATATGCTGCATAGTATATCCAAAGTGTGTTTAGCTCTAATTCAAAAACTTACCTTAA